TATATATACACATACATACATACAGAACCATGATGAATCTGCGTGATGTTTACTCGAACATCAGAGCTATGCGATGTAATTTGCTGCTGCCCTCAAGGCTAAATGTGACCATGTTCTCTCAATATGACATTTACTTTAACTAATTAATCTCATGTTTCTACATGATTCATAAATATAAATATATAGACTGAATCACAGGACTGAACATGATTAATCATTGTTTTGTGCGCTATTTAACATAATCCTCTGAAGATTACTGGACTGCATGAGGTCTTTGATTCACACAGGCTGAGAAACAGATGCGGAACAACTGCACAGTGATAATTTATGTTTACAGCAACTGTTTCAGCATCTTGTATCTTGTCTCTACAAGCTGACATACTCATTAAATATGTGGCCTTTACTGTGTGATGTAAAGCTACAGCTCATTTTCCTTAAAGCTTGATAAGCCCAATTATTATACAACATAAAACCGCTCTACAGCTGAATTAGAACTGGAAAAATCCCTATTAATATGAGCAGTGTTTGCATAGTTTTATTGTGAAAACCCTGGCTCTATTTCCACTGTAAAATATAGTGGAAAACCCTGTATATGGACAGTTTTGATATCCAAGAGCATCCAGATCTAAAATGCTAATAACTCCCTCTGACCATTGCAATTTTTCGGTTGTCTCCTTCTGAAAAGGTTAATTCAGACAAGTTTAATCTGATTATTATACAGAATCAGTTAAAGATGAGTGCTAAGACACTCCACCAACGACAACAAGAAGTTAAAATTAAGTGCTAACAACCTGAAAAAGGGGGCAGCTTTCATATCGAGCAAAGCACTTTTCAAGGTCACAATATGATACCTTCAGCCTCAATTTGAAACACTAAATGTCACCATGTTCAGTTTTGTTGGCTTTACAAAGACAAATGGCGATTATGAAAGTAGTCTTGGTGTGAAGGTCAATAACAGAACATCAAAGAGAGAGAGGGATGTGTGGCTGGATAAAGAAAGATAGATGAGATAAAGTTGAGATCGATACAGAGGTGGAGGGGTAAAACGAGGATACACACAGCAGATATCAGAGGAGGGAATGAGACACTTGATTTAAGAGTAATTGCATCGGAATGAAAGGAAAAATGGCCGCCGGCTGCCAAAACACTGACAGCTCAAACAAAGAAATAGTATTGACACACACACACACACACACGTATGTATAAATACAGAAATAAATAGCCAAACAGACAGGCCGAGACGAACGAGACAACGAGCAGAGTCGAAGAACAACAAGAATAAATCCCACGACAAACATGGGAAACAAACGAATGATAAAACAGAAAATAAGAGAGTGAAGGAGCACCCCATAACTCCAACTGCTAATAAAAAAAGGATTAGCAGAGAGATGCGACACAAGGAGAAGAGAGCCGGTGCAGAATAATGTTTAAAAAGAGTCAGTTGGCTCGGTGGTGGGACGGAGGAAGACGTGCGGACAGAAAGTGTGAAAATGATGTTAGCTTCAGAGTGAGACTGGATTTACTATGAGGGAGGGGAAAAAAAGGCCAGGAAAAAAAATCACTACTTTGAATAATTTACACCAGAGGACGTTGACGAGACTACATTGGATGGCATGCATATTTATGCATTTGCATGAGCGCGGAGGGACAGAAATAAGACGACAGAAGAATAAAGAAACAATGAGAGTTCTTTGATTCAAGATAAAGATAAAGGGGGAAATAAAGGTGCACACGGGGAGGGGGGGAGGTATAAGATAGAAAACACAGAAAGGTGCACTAAACAAAAGAGCAACTTAAGATCCAAGATGTAAAGATGCTATAAACAGAAAAACACATTCATCATAAAAACAGATACACACAAGATAAGTCTCCTTCCATAAGGGATTGTTCTCTCCTATGGGAATACGCAGCAGTGCTTTGTGTGTTTGCGTGTGACACCGAGTGCCCACATCCTCGGAGCAGATGGCTGATGTGCTGATATGAACACCATCACTGTGGGGCCATTGATTTATGGGAGAGCTAGTGATGTGCTTAGGTGTTAAATGACTATACAGTGTGTGTGTGTGTCTGTGTGTTTCTGAGTGTTGTTGTGAAGACCATACCCCCTGGGTGTGTTTACTGTGAGTATTTGTGTGACCGTCTCGCTCTTTCTTTACAGAAAAATATTTCTAAACATATACAGCGCAGCATCCTCGCTTCCTCCTGCGCTGAGGCTGCTGAAATTAACTCAATCGACAATGTTCGGATCTACGTTACGTGAATACTAATGCGAGGAAGACACACGCACACGCACACGCACGCACACACACACACACACACACACAGGTGGGACTAAGTGGAAATGTATTGAAAAAGGACATGAGTGCATCATCATAAAAATGACACACTGTTAATTTAAGTGTGTAGATTATAATTTAACATTAATAATGTAGGTGTACATATATGGAGATTATTCCATAGAACAGATCCAGGATCCCTTATTGACTTCCTTTATTAAATCTACACCAATCCCAGATGAAAACATGGAGAGCAAGGGTGAGAGATAATTCAGTATTATCGTATTGTTATTGTTTTATGCACGTGTGTTGTTTGAATTTTCAATTAAAACCTGGCTAATATAGTTTTTGTTTTACGTGCGCAGAGGTTTAGTCAACAGTAATCTAATAATAATAATAATTCCCAAGACAGGAAGAACAAAAACTGTGCTCTAGTGATGATATAATATGCTACAATGACAACAGCACAAAAAGAGTTTTAAAAATAAGATATAAATAAGAAAAAGAACATGAATAATCAACAAGGGATCTTTAAATATAATACGATGTCAGGAGACATAAATCAGATAAAAGAGACAAAATAAACTAAACTTAAATAGCAACATAAAGCCCAAAGGTATTTATATATGTAACAGCTTGTTGCTTTAGTACTTTAAGAGAATTCTGTCTGGAAAATAAAACTTGTTTATGGATAAAATAATCGGACAGGAATGAATGAAATTAAGGTACTTAATCACACTGATGCCAAAACCATAAAAGAAACGCTGATAATGTAATACCACTGTCCTGCCAAATGATTTTTTACTATGCTCATAATACAAAAAGAGAAAATAAAGAGATATCTACACCAGAAACAGAAAGATTTCAATATTGTATGTGATTGATTATTATATTTGTCAGTAGTTGCCAGTTTATTAGGTACACCTCGCTGAAATCAATGCAGTTTCATACAACAGTCCTGCAATAAATCCTCCCTTTGTGAAGGTTATGATGTTCAATTTTTGCTGGCGTTACTTCAACTTTATGTTTAGTTTGGAGGTTGCAGTTTGTAGTGAGCTTAGATTGTATTGTGTTATTCCGACGAGTGTTTCTATCATTGAATACCATCATTGATTTAACTCAACAATGCAACACAACTGCAGCCTCCAAAAAGACCAGATGTTGAATCAACATCTCTACACAGTTTCAACAATAACTGAAGGATTTACTGCAGGAGCGTTGAATTAGACTGCATCTATCTATCTATCTAATATTATGATATAGATTTTAACCACACCATCCAGCCAATGAGAGGAGATCAAAATGCTTTGAGAGGATGTGGATTGAGTGAAAAGCTCTGACTCAATTGGGATGTTTTTCATTCATTGTATTTTGAGAATGGGGTGACGGAGTAAAGAGCATAAGTACGGGGTGGAAAGCGTACACATGTCATTTGCTTTGGTGGAAACGTGACAACAGAAAACAAGAAGAGCCAATGAATCCTTATCTGTACAGCCATACCATTCTGCATGTTCAGATAATCTCCCTCTCAGTGTCACGCTCACAAACACACGGGTTA